AGCAGAAAGAGCCCCAGCAGCAGCATATGCCCGTGGCTTTCTGGTTTGGTTTTGTTTTTCTATTTTTTTAATTTTTTTTTTTTTTTTTTTTTTTTTTTTTTTTTTTTTAACAAAATAAATATCCCTTTTGCTGTGTGTGAAGTACCAGCGAGCTGAAGCATCCCAGGGGATCCCTGCAGTTACTGGTACCCTGCAAAAAGTCCCAACAGCTCGTGCTGGGTCACACGGGGTCAGAGGCTGAGGGAGCCCTGCCATGGCACGGCTGTGAGGACACCAGAACCCTTATGGATTGGGAYTGAGGAATTCCCTCAGCACTTTCCTCCTGGCTGATGTGCCGTGGCTGGGGATGCTCCCTCCCCTGCAGCACCTGCAGCCCATGATGGAAATCCAGGCCCAGCCCTGCCACGGCCCTGACCCCTCATTTTCAGGCTTCCAGCAGCTTCACGAGCCAGTAAAAAGAAAAAAAAGTGAAGGTTGGCTTTTCCCTCTTTCTCCTGGTTTTCCCAGGCTCCTCCTCAAAGCATCATTCCTCTGGAAGCAGCGTGGCAGCTCTGAAGACCTTCCTCTCCATCATCCCCCAGCACAGGACATCTCCGGGGTGGGCACTGAGCTTTTGGTTGTTTTTTTTCTTTTTATTTCCTTTCCCCCTGCAAACAATTGCAGGAAATGGGGCTGGTTTTAAGGCACAAAGAGCCTTGCATTAGTTCAGCTCCTCCATTTACTGGAGGGGGCACAGTTCTGCAGCACCCACCGGCTCCCAGCTTGAGGAATCCCACATGGGACAACCCCAAACCAGCAGCCTGAGCTTCAGGACAACAACTTTTCCACCTGAGGATCCTCCATTATCTATAAACCCTCCAAGGATCGACATRTGATTACTGGATGTGGCCCTTGGAGCTCAGTTTGAAGAATTTCTTGGCAAGAAATGAAAGGTTTGAACTTCAGGCTCCAGATTAGGGGGTGCTGCTCCTGGCTGGTGAGAATTCTCCTCAGCTGGGGCTGCCCCAGACCTGCCCCATCGCCAGCACTGGAGGGACAATCATCGACTCTGCTGTGCCCCAGCTTCTCTGTCTGGCTGTGACACGAYGGGGGGACACTGAGTAAGAAATGGTTCTTTTCAATGCTGAAAAGGACAAATTTTGGTTTTCACCCCAGAATCTTCCTCCTGGAGAATAATGYTGAATTTAAAGGACTTACCTCTATCGGGGACTGGAGCCCTCCTGGGGAGGGGGAATTGGTGCCTTTCATCCCCTGTCAGCAGGGAGAGGGGAGCTCTGAGCCATGTCCTGCCCACGGGGCACAGCCTGGTGCTGGGACTGTCCACCCTGTCCGTGCAGGGGACTACAGGCTGAYCCCAAGGGTCCCAGAGCACAGACCTGTGTGGGTGCAGGTCTGCCTGATGTTGCAATGACGTGCAGACACGAAGGACAGTGCTGGGCACAGCTCCTGAGGCACTGCCAGAGCAGGCAGGTTATCCAGTCCCGGCATCTCACCCTCCCTAAGTGCCTTCGCTGGCCACAACAAACTCCCTCGCTTSTAGCTGTTCCCCTTCCCAGCTCCTGCTCCAGAGCAACCCAAATTTCCCAGGTTTTTGGAGGACAGACCCCAGTGAGACCAGGTGCCCCACACCTGGGTTGGATGTGTCCCCTGTCCAACAGATGACCAGTGACCAAGTGACCAGTGCCAGTAGCCCAGGTGACTGCGGTCCCTTCTCCAGATGCTGTGGTCACACCTTGGCCTGGCAGGGACCTTTTAGGGTCTGCAGATGATGCAGCCACACCTTTCCTGCCCAGAGGCCCAGGGTGAAGCCTGCCCCCACAGCAGGGCTGTCACTGTGCAGCTGCTGGGGCAGTTCCAGGGATGGCCCTTCTGTGCCCACGGCCAGGAGGAAAGGACTGTTACAGACTCTGCTGGCCCAGGAGCAAACTGGCCAYCAGGAATGGAGGCTGGAAAGGAGAAGATGACCAGATCCAGACTAGGAGAGCAGCAGCAGAGGCTGGGAGGGCTTTCCCGAGACAGGACGGCAGCCAGCCCAGCGCTGCGGGGAATAAGCGCATCCAGAGAGACGGGAGCTGTCACAGCCGGGCGCTGAGATAGCTGAGACAGCAGCGGCATGGAGGCACTTCAGACCCCTCCCAGGGGCTGGGTGGGCTCTGCAGCCCGGGGCAGCAGCGTGGGACATGTCCCCACCCCAAAAYGCCCCGAGGTTCTGTGAGGTGAGCTGCACGTCGGAGCCCCTTAGGGCGGGGGAAGGCGCTGAGGACTCGGGGGGTGCAGGGTCTCGGGGTCCCCCAGACCCGAGCTGTGCCTGACATGCAGCCTTGCACTCCCTGCAAACCGATCTGCTCAGGAACAGGGCTGCTCACGGAAATCTGTCGCTAAAAGACAAACCCAGCGAGTCCYGAGGGCCCGGGAGGAAGGGAAATGCGATGCTGGAGAGAGCCACAGCGACATCCCCTGTGCGCGCAGGGACACGCCAGGCACGGCAGGCAGGGCTGGGGTTACCGCAGGACACCGGGGCGGAAGATGCCTTTTTCTATTCCTTTAGCCAAATAGATGGGTTTTTCTCTGCGGAAAGAACTTAAGATGGGAAAACCGAGCAGCAGGGAGGCCCAGTGAAGGGACGGGGGCTGCTGGTGGCTCTCCTCCAGGTGACCCTGTGGTGGCAGAAAAGCCCTGAGGGATCTGTGCAGGAGTTCTGCAGCTTTCAAATCCAGAGCTCTGTGCTGATTTGATGATGCTGATTTGTCACAACACGTGCTCTGCTGCATCCCCACTCTTAGTCCTCAGAGGGAAAACTGAGGCACAGAAGGGCATGAGGCCATTTTCTCGATATTAGAACTAATCAGAGGAGGGTCAGCTTCTCCTCCCAAAAATCCCAGGCCTCCATCTTCCTTTCCCACCTCTTCTTGGAAGGTTGCTGAGTTTCTTCAAAGGCAAACCACACTCTGGGAACTACCAGCCCAGCRGGACAGAGGGCTCAGCCACAGAGGGAAGGCAGGGGAGACAGGGATCTGCAGGCAGGTGCTGGCAGCTTCAGCACAGGGACAGTGCTGCCAGGGGCAGACAGGCTCCCATCAGCCTCTGGAGCTCCCCTGCTTGTTCCATGACTGCCAACGGGCTGGCCTGGGCAGCCCCAGCTCCTGTGGGAAGGTGAGAAATGTTTTCTGTTGTCAGAAGGATGAACAGAAGGAAGTGACTTTTCCCTTTAGAAAGTTGTGTGGGAAATGTAATCCCAGAAGGATTCAGCTGCTGTTTGGGGCACCTGTTCCCAGGAGGATGCTGTCCCATCATCCCTGAAGCTCATGGCAGGGACAGCTTCTACATGGAACTGCTGGTGGGGAGGTGCTGGGGCTCTGCACCAGCCAGCTTGGGGGCCTGGGTGATGGGAAGAGTGGCAGTGGCTGAGGGAGTCCCWGCAGGGTCACAGGGCAGGGACACAGACAGATTTGGGTGGAGGGTGCTGTTGTGCTGTTGTGCTGGGACTCTGTGCCCAGTGCACGGCTCACAGCGCCACTGCTGCTGCCAGTGCATGCTACTGGTGCCTGTGGAAGGTACTGGTGCCTGTACTGGTGCCTGTGGCTGGTCCTGGGGCTGGTGACAGTGCCTGGTGGCACTCCTGCTGTGTGGCACTCGCTGTGCACTGTGTGGTGCTGGTGCCAGTGCCAGTGCTCGTGCTGGTATCCACTGCCCGGTGCCAGCCCCCTGTGCCTGGTACCAGCAGCTGGTGCTTGCTGCACGATGGTACCGGTGGTGGTGCCCAGTGCCCAGTGCCCACCTCCCATTGCCACCTGCCCCTGTCCAGTGCCAAGTGCCACTGCCCAGTACTGGTCCCAACACCTCCTGACCAGTGTCCCTGTCCAGTGCCATATGCCCAATGCCAAATGCCCATTGTCCAGTGCCTGGTATTGGTGCCCAGTTCCTTGTGGCCCTTGCACTATGCCAGTGTCCAGTGCAGGTGTGGGCTGGGGTGGTCGGTTTGTACTGGGTGCCGGGCGGTGGGTGCTGGGTGTGGGGTGTTCTCTCCCCGGTCTCTAGGGGCCGGTCCGTGTGTCGGTCTGTCCCTCGGGGCCGGTCCGTGTGTCGCTCGGGGCCGGTCCGTGTGTCGCTCGGGGCCGGTCCGTGTGTCGGTCTGTCGCTCGGGGCCGGTCCGTGTGTCGGTCTGTCGCTCGGGGCCGGTCCGTGTGTCGGTCTGTCGCTCGGGGCCGGTCCGTGTGTCGGTGTCCGTGTGTCGGTCTGTCGCTCGGGGCCGGTCCGTGTGTCGGTCTGTCCCTCGGGGCCGGTCCGTGTGTGTGTCGGCGCTCGGGGCGGTGCCGCTCGGGGCGGGCCGTGCAGGAGGAAGCGCAGTCGGGGCAGAGCGGCCCCGCAGCGGCCGGAGCCGCGCGTTCCGTGAGTACCGGGGGGATCGCTGCCCCCACCCTGYCCGTGTCCTCACTGCTCCCCCCTGTGCCCCCTTCCTCTGTCTGCTTCCCTTCTTCCTCTGGCCTCCGGCCCAATTCCCAATTCCCCATTTCTCCCCGCCTGCCGTGTCTCCAACCCCTGTCCCAACTGCCCTTCTTTCCCCTACCTCTTCACTCCCCTTTCTTCCCGCTGCTCTCCCCACTTCCTTCCCTCAAGCTCTGAGCCTGTGTCCCCCGAGAAACTCCTACCCCTCCGCACTGCCCTATCTGCTCCGTGTCCCCCCCGGAACCCCTCYGGTYCCCCAGTGCCCTGCTCACCYCCTGCACCCCCACTCCTGCCTCCCCTCCTGGCTCGGGGGTGGGGAGTCCACGTGTACCATGTCGGGGTCCCTTGAGGCTGTCGGGGAGTGGGGAGCACAGTTCTGCACCCCGCACCCAAACCAGGGGGTTCTGCCAGGGGACCCTCCCCCTCCCTCTCCCCCTCCCTCTCCCCCTTCCCCTTCCCCTTCCGTGAGAACAACGCCAGCACTGACACTCCCCCCACCCCCGGTTAAGGGGGTCTCTGTCCCGCAGGAGGTGGGCAATGCCAGACAGGTGTGCTGGCAAGGGGAAGGGAGATGGATCGTGGGATCACCGTGGAGAACCCCTACGCCAGTGTCAACATCCCACGGGAACAGTTCCAGCAAAGCTTCATCACCCGCTACCTGAGAGATGAGCCCACCATCATTGCCAACTCTGCAGCCGTGCCCACCTATGGCACAGAGGAGCAGACTGACCTTGCTAACGGCTGGAACAGCCCAACCATTTCCACGGACAGGTCCTGGTCCCGTCCCTACAACCCCTATGCCAGTCTGAGGGTGCCCAATGGAGAATCATCCGCCTCCTTCTACACCGTGACCCTGGACAAGCCCCCCAAGGGCCAGGAGCAGAGGACTGGCAGGCGCTGTGGCTGCTGCAGGTGCTGCTCCTGCTGCCCAAAGTGCTGCTGTGTCATCTCCTAGGGCCCTCCCTGCACCCACGGGATGTGCTGACCATGGGCTGGGGCCAGGTGACCCCACACCGATGTGGCTGCTGGCCTGGGCACCCTGAGGAGCTGCCCTGGCACCCAGCAGAGCTGGCAGCTGGGAGCTGGCCCTGGCTGGACTCTGACCTCGCTTTTCACCTGTGAATTCTGGAGCCTGATGTGCTGATGATGGGCACCTGCCAGGTGSGACATGGGGCCCTGGAGCCCTGGAGCCCTGAGGATGATGTGTGCCAGCATAGATGTCACTGAGAAGTGCCTGCACTGGAGCCAGGACAGCAGTTTGAGCCTGCAGCCCTGTACCCTGCCCCTGCCAGTGTCCCTGTGCTGGGAAATGTCCACCCTTGGAAGGTGCAGGCAGTGTCCACCTGCCAGTGGGTAGGCTGGGATGAAGGCAGCCCCGGGTGTATGGCAGAGGAGGACTGTCATTGTCACTGTCTTGGAACAGTGGAGAAGAGCCAGGGACAAGCCTCCAGCTGGGATGGGGACCCACCTCCCCAGAACGGAGCCATCTTCCCTCCCATGGCATCATGGGGATGCTGCAGCACCCTGCACCAAGCTCCAGCTGGGACCTGCTCCTCCTCACCATGCTGCCCATGGACAGAGGGAAGGACTCAGGAAATACAGACAGGCAAAGCATGGCAGAGCACTGGGCTGTGCTCCAGGGAAGCGCCTGAAGGATGGCACAGCTTGGATATGGGCATTAACATCTGGTGCCAGGAAACCCCCAGTGCCATTCTGTTCCTCCTGCCAGGCTTGTGGGGTACTGGGCACAACCTCTCACTCCATCTGCACCCTGGAGACAGCCCAGTGTGGAGGGCTGGCCTGGCTCTAGCACTGGRGTACCACTGGGGCAGCTTGCTGGGCTGCAGAGCCCCAGCATTCACCTTTTGCAGCTCCCTTGGCTGGGAGGAAGGCRAGAGGATCCTGCTGGCTCTTCCCAGGCTGCTGGGGCAGCTCCAGGCTGGGCGTTCAGCTGGGGCTGCTGCCATCGACCTGGAACAAGCCCGCTGCTGTGCTGATGTCCCGCCGAGGTGTTGTTGTCCTTCCCTGGTGCTGGCAGCCTGAGGACAGCCACTCTGCCAGGTGGCAGCTGCTCTGTGGCTGCTGCAGAGCTGCCTGCTCTGCGGGAGGAGGGCCTTGGGAAGAGTGCCTGTGTTAGCAGATGACTTTAGGGTGCTGCAAATAAAATTACAGCCATCTCCGCCCCTGCCGAGGTGTGCCTCCTCCCTCCACCCTGACTTTTCTGGGATTCCCAGGCTGCTTCTTGCTTTTCCTGGTGGGATGTGTAAGGGCAGTGCTAAAGTCTCSAAGCCAGGCTTAACTGTTGCCCTGCTGACTCTGGCAGCAGCAGCTCATGCTGGGCTCTGTGGCTGGCTGCTGCCTGGTGTCCTGCTGGCAGCCTGACTCCAGCAGTGCCAGCCTGGCTCCAGCAGTGCCATCCTGGCTCCAGCAGTGCCAGCCTGGGTCCAGCAGTGCCAGCCTGGCTCCAGCAGTGCCATCCTGGCTCCAGCAGTGCCAGCCTGGGTCCAGCAGTGCCAGCCTGGGTCCAGCAGTGCCAGCCCGGCTCCAGCAGTACCAGCCTGGCTCCAGCAGTGCCAGCCCGGCTCCAGCAGTGCCAGCCTGGGTCCAGCAGTGCCAGCCCGGCTCCAGCAGTGCCAGCCTGGCTCCAGCAGTGCCAGCCTGGCTCCAGCAGTGCCAGCCCGGCTCCAGCAGTGCCATCCTGGCTCCAGCAGTGCCAGCCCGTGTCCAGCAGTGCCATCCCGGCTCCAGCAGTGCCATCCTGGCTCCAGCAGTGCCAGCCCGTGTCCAGCAGTGCCAGCCTGGCTCCAGCAGTGCCAGCCCGGCTCCAGCAGTGCCAGCCTGGCTCCAGCAGTGCCAGCCCGGCTCCAGCAGTGCCAGTCCAGGTCCAGCAGTGCCAGCCCGGCTCCAGCAGTGCCAGCCTGGGTCCAGCAGTGCCAGCCCGTGTCCAGCAGTGCCAGCCTGGCTCCAGCAGTGCCAGCCCGTGTCCAGCAGTGCCAGCCCAGGTCCAGCAGTGCCAGCCTGGCTCCAGCAGTGCCATCCCGGCTCCAGCAGTGCCATCCCGGCTCCAGCAGTGCCAGCCCGGCTCCAGCAGTGCCAGCCCGGCTCCAGCAGTGCCAGCCCGGCTCCAGCAGTGCCAGTCCAGGTCCAGCAGTGCCATCCCGGCTCCAGCAGTACCAGCCTGGCTCCAGCAGTGCCCAGGCGTTCCCGGTACAGGCTGCTCCTGCCTGTCTGGGTACACTGGTGGGTGCTCAGCCCAGCCCTGCTGAGCTGTGTCTCTCCTGTCTGGAAAGACTGAGTCTTTTGGAGAGGCTGAGGAAGGGCCTGGGGAAGGGAAGCTCCTGGCTGGGCCAGCTGGGTGGGCTCTGGGGCACTGCCTGGCTGACCCCTGGGGGTCCATGGCTGGGAACTCGTCACTGCTTGGAGCCCACATGCACTGAGACCCCACAAGCACTGGGTGCTCAGCCTTGCTTGAATGCCACTGAACTGAGATCCCAGCGGGACTGGAAGCCCCCCAACCCTGAGGGCCCACCATTGCTGGGAGAACACCAGGAGCCTACCAGCCCCTGGATCCCATCACTCTCGAGTTCCCACCCCCGGGACGTTCTGGGCTGGGGTGCCAGTGTCTTGGCGGAGGTTTGGCCCCAGCAGTTTGTCCCTCCCGTCCTGGCCGCCCTGCCTGGCCCGTGTCCCACGTTGCTGGGTGGGCGGGGGAGGCTGGCAGGGACACAGCCCTGCACAAGGAGCTCCCTTGTTCACCCTGCCCGGTGACGGCACCGGGGACGGGCAGATCCACCTCTTGTTTGCTCTGGTGTCGCGGCCGCCAGCCCTGCCCTGTGGCGGAGCCCCCGCGGTGTGTCTGGGCAGGGGACACGTCACCGGTGGAGCCCGCAGGGCGGGGCTGCCCCGTGTCCGGCGCTCGGCAGGACACGCGGGCCTTGGGGACAGAAAACTGTCCCCAGCTGTCCCTCAGGGGCGTGCGGTGCCTCGGGCAGAGCTCAGGGCGAGCAGAGCCGGGGGCTCGGGCAGGGTACGGCGAGGCACAGCACCCGCTGCCCTTGGCTCTGCCCCAGCCCGGGGCGAAGGCAAACACGGCACAGCTGCCAGAGCCCCGGACAATGATTAAACTGGAGCTGCAAAGGGGCTCTGAGCGGGGCAGAGTGCAGGCTGCGGCCCCAGAGCTCGGCAGGGCTCTGATGAGCCGGGCAACAGCATGCAGGGTCCCTTGGGTGCTCTCCGGGTGTGTTCATCCTGCCAAGGTGCCCAGGGGTGCAGAGGGTTGTGCTGGGTGACGCCATCCCCTGCCTCTGGAGCATGGGTGGTGRCGCAGGGCTCTGGCTCATCCCGATCAGACCTTTGCTCTCCCTGAGGGTGCCACTCCCCACCCCGCGGTGCCAAAGGTCCCTGCAGGCCCGTGGATATGTCCTGGGAACAGGAAAACACGTTTCCTTCCCATGTGTGTCGCTGCTGATTGCAGATCTGTCTCCCCTGAGGCGAGATCTTATCGCTCTGCACAACTCCCTGAGAGGAGGTTGCAGTGAGGGGAAGGTTGGTCTCTTTGCCCAAGTAACAAGTGACAGGATGAGAGGAGCCCCAAGTTGTGCTAGGAGAAGTTTGAGCTGGATATCAGGGAGAAAATATTCACTGAAAGGGTTGTAAAGCCCTGGCATAGGCTGCCCACAGCCATGATGGTGTCACTAGCCCTGGAATAGTTCAAAAATGTGTGGATGTGGCACTTGGGGACACGTTTTCGTGGTGAATGTGGTGGTGGTGCTGGGTTGACAGTTTGATGTGATGATTTAAAATATATTTTCCAGCCTTAAGGACTCTGTGATTCCCTGTCCTGGATGCACTGGGGTTTTGGTAGATGCACAGCCACCGTCACCAAGGGCTCCCGCTGAGCCCTGCCTGTGCTAAGCTGGGGTGCCCAGTAATGGCAGAAATGGCCAAGGGCAGCTGGGCACAGCCCCTGGGTGGGACAGAGCTGTGCTGGCATCAGGGAGGGGACATGAGGGCTGATGGGCAGGGGACAGGTAGGGGCTGGAGCGGGGCAGGAGGGCAGGCAGGAGGGGTCAGTGCRTCTGAGCAGTGCCAGGGCACCCCCAGCTGGGCACAGAGCCAAGCCCACCCCTCTCACCCACAGAAGTGTTTTGGCAGAGCTCCCTATGGCCCTGTGGGACTGCACTGCTCCTATCACTGTGTGCCAGTGGAAGAGGAACAGCTCGGCAGCTTGGGAACACCCCAGCCCCAGCTGCCTGCACACCCCGGGCACACTGTGCCCGTCAGGAGCCAGCTCTGCCCTGGCTGCCGGCACCCAAGGCTGCACCCCAGCACAGGCAGGCAYGGTGGCACCCTGGGATGCCAGGGCACAGCTGGAATCCCACACAGCTAGATCCTGATCCACCCAGRGCACACGGCCTGTGCCCCACCTGGGCCAACGGGTTTGGCCAAGACCGATGTCCCTGGCACAACCTTGTCCCTAACCAGCCCCACTGTCCTGTGCTGGCCACCAGCCTGGCAAGGAGAGGGCAAAACCCTGCCATGGGGCACCACCCCCGTGCCTGGAGAGCCATAGGCACACAAAGCCCACGTGCACTGCCCAGGGAATGCTGTGGCAGGGATGGATCAGGACCCTGGGTCAGGATACATGTCCTAGAGGTGCTGTGCTACTGCTGCTGCTTCCCCTCTCCCAGGCACCAGTGTCAGGGGAAAGCCTTTTTGCAGAGCCCGGTGACCCTCTGGGGGTCTCCATTTCCAAAACCCCCAATTCTTTCTCTGTGGAGTGCTGGAAACATGACCGGGCTGCTGGTGAGGAGGCACGGCCCGAATCCCCGCTTGCCCTGCTGCCCACTGCTGCCTGTGGCGGGAGCTGCTGCCCTCTCCTGCTCCCTCRCAGCAATGCTGCTGGGTGTCCTGGCACTCCTGTCCTGCCCCCACGATGGGCTTTTCTTCTCCATGATCCTGAGTCCAGGATCTGTCCCCCTACCACACTACCCTCTTCAATCTGCAGCACCTCCATGCCGAGGCTGGGACRCTGCTGCCGGACCAGGGGCAGCTGCGGGGACAGAGTGGCCCCTCCCCAGCGCTGTCACCTCCCCTGGGCCATGCATTGCCATGAACCTTGCAGGTGTCTCTGTGGTATCTCCCCAGCCTGATGCTGGGCACTGGTGACTCGGCCCCAAGGCCAGAGCCTGCTGCCCCCAGGGAGGGGCAGGGACAGGTCACAGGTCACACACACGTCACCCCCAGGCTCCAGCTGGGAGCGTCACCCCCCATGTGGGCACTGCCAGCCCTGGCCAGGCCAGAGCCCCGGGGTCCCTGCCTCAGTGCCAGCCCTGCCACCCCACTGTGCCCTCCCGCTGCYGTCCCCACAGCCTGGAGCACCTGGGATGTGTGAGCTGGAGCACGGCGGGGTCTCTGCTGGCCAATGTCTGCCCAAACGCTCTGGGCTCTCAGGGTGKCCCAGGATGTGGAAGGCTGTGGTGCTGCCACTCAGTGCAGGTGATGTCTGAGCCCTGTGCCCACGGTGAAGCCCGGAGCTCCTTGCCCCTGGAGGGACGATTCCTTCTGTTAGTGAGGCAGAAGCTGATGGTTAATGACCACGTCTGGGCTTAGATTTCACAGGTCCTTGTTGCCCGGGTGCTTGTAACCCAATCTCTCAGGCTTCGCTTCCCTGCAGCAGATCCAATAGCACCTGTCCCTGAAAGGTGAGCCCCTGCCCACTACCACGGCCACCGGCAGCCACAGGGCCCTGGCTGGGGAGCTGCTGGCTGCTCAGCCCCCCGATGCTCCCCACAGGACTGCCACAGCCCCCTGGGACAGCACAGCCTTTCTGCCACCACCCCTGAGGCCCTGGGAAGCCTCTCAGGACAGGTAGGGATGGGGGAACTGGGAGAAGGGGAGGACAGGGGCACCCTGAGCACCAAAATAATCGAGGTCACCTAAAGAGAGGGAGCAGAGAATTGGTGGCCCCCAGGAGAATATGCTAGTGGGTACCAGACCCCACCTGAGACGAGGCTGGACCCCTCAGCCCCACTCCCATAAGCCTTTGTGCCCACCCCCTGCCTAGGCTGGGGAGGACTGGGGTTGTGCCACTGCCTGGTCTCCAAGTGCTGTTTGCTGGCCCCCCCAGCCATCCCAGTGCTGCTCACCCCAGTCCCAGGGCACACCCTGAGCAGGTTGCTGAGGTGCAGAGCCCCTGCAGAGCCCCCAGTGTGGCACTGGAAACACATAACCCCCACGGATGCAGGACCAACCCAGTGCAGGGGCAGCATCCTGCTCTTCCAGGCAGGGCTGGTCACGGGCAGGTGGGCAGCGGGCAGGGGCTGGGCAGGGATCCCTGCTGCTCCTGGGAACTGACCACATGGACTAGTCCCATCTCTCCCACATGCTGATGCACTCAGAGGTGCCACCCCACTCCTGTGCCCCCTCCACAGCATGTCCCAGGCCGGTGGCAGCCCCCAGGCAGAGGATTTGGGGCCGTGTGTCGGGGCMCACTCGCGCACCCCGAGCCGGGCCAGCCAGCGCGTCGAGTGCATCATCTGCTACTCCTCCTACGACCTGGGCGTGCGGCTGCCACGGCGCCTCTACTGCGGCCACACCTTCTGCCAGGCGTGCCTGAAGCGCCTGGACGCTGTGAGCAACGAGCAGCGCTGGATCCCGTGCCCGCAGTGCCGCCAGAACACGCCCACGCCCCGCGGAGGGGTCACCATGCTCGACCTCGACCTGGGCACCTTCCTCGCCGTCAAGGCTGACAAGGAGCACCCGCGGGTGGCCGGCAGGAYCCCGCCCGAGCCGCCCGCCAAGGGCTCCTGCAAGGAGAAGGTGGTGAGCGAGCAGCCGGCGGGGCTGTGCCAAGAGCCGGGGCCTCCGGCGCTGTTCCCCCGGCGTGGCTGCTGCCGGCTGTGCCTGTGCTGCGGGGTGACCGCGGCCTTCGAGAGCTGAGCGCGGRCAGCCAGCGGTGCCCGGGCAGCTGAGCTCCCGCGGGGCAGCCTGCCACTGCTTTTGGGTACCTGTGCCACGCCTCAGACCCACGTGTGGACAGCAGTGCTGGCAGCCAAGGAAGGGCTTCAACCTGGGCAGGGCTTGCTGTCCACCCTGTCGGGATTTGGGGTGCAGCAGCGGGGAATGAGGATGTTGCCACCCCCTCATGATGCCAGTCTGTCCTGCAGACTGCTCAGAAACATGGGCTGGCWCATGGCCCATTGGCTCGGCAGCAGGGACAGTGTCTCTGGGCATCCCCAGGCAGGGGACACGGAGYGATGCCGTGGGGASCGTGTCCAGCACCGTGCAAGCTCCRTCCATTAAAGACTCTGCTGGYCCTGCTGGGCTGCACACCTTGGCTGTGTTTGTTGGCTGCCTGGGGCTGGCCCGGGTGAGCCCTGCCCATGGCAGCTGGGGCAGGTGACATGCTGTGCCGGATCGCTGTGCTGCCAGTGCTTGCTCTGCTGACCATTCGCGTGAGAAATTTTGGCACTGGGATAGCAGGACGGCTCAAATTGAGAACGACAGCKTTGTTAGGAAACCACAGCACGTTGCTCCAGCTACACTGCTGCGGTGTGGGGAGGAGAGCTGAGCTCCGGTGTGGGAGGAGAGCCGAGCTCAAGGAAGTTCCTGCTTGCCCTCAAGCTCTGAGGCTCACGCCAGGTTGGGTTTTTCCTGCCGGATCTTTCCCCACGCAGGCACACACAGACTCTGCTGCTGTTTTCCCAGCCGTGCMCTGCTGCCTGCGGGGCTTTCCCTGCCTGACCCCACAGCAGGTGCAAGGACAAGAGCCCAGGCAGCTGCTCTGGGTTAGCAGAGGCCAAACGGGGGGCACTGGGGGCACAGGGTGATGCTAAAATACCTCTTGGGCAGGGCTTGATGTTGCCTGGGCAGTTCCTATGGTTCTTCCCCAGGGCTCATTTTCTGCATTTGTTTTCTGTGTCATTTATGAGCCCTTGCAATACCCAAACACCAGGAGCCCCTGGCTGCCCTTGGGGCTCAGCAGGGCACTCCAGCCTGAGCCTCCTTGGGGTTGGCAGGGATCTTGTGTCCTCTGGGCAGTCTTGGGGCTTGGGTGTTCCCTGTGCTGAGGGCCAGGGCTGCAGCCAGAGGGCTGCATCAGCTGTAGACATCACCCACCCCATACACAGCACCACCCCATACAGAGCATCCACATCCTGCACAGCACCCACCCCTTACCCAGCACCCACACCCCATACACAGCACCCATCCCATACACAACATCCATCCCATACACAGCACCCACACCGCTGCACAGCACCCACCCCATACAGAGCATCCACATCCTGCACAGCACGCCCCCATACACAGCACCTGCCCTACACAGCACCATCCCATACACAGCACCCACCCCATACACAGCACCCATCCCACACACAGCACCACCCCATACACAGCACCCACCTCATACACAGCACCCACACCCCATA